TCAATGCTTTGTACACTATACAATCGGTGTCTTTAGGAAGCCAACCCCTATGTTATGCATGAAGTGAAGGCATAAAAGAAAATCAATAGACTTATAAACAATTAAATTGGGGAAGTACTTAATTTAATGTGGAAGTCATTTACTAGTAATGTACCTGTCGTGTAATGAGGCTAATGATATATAATTGTTATCACAATAGTTGTAATTGTGTTAATGTTGCCCTTGATAATGACATACTTGATGTATCAAAACTAATTGTGCATTTTGTATAGTTAGTGTGTAAAATTTTAACATATATTTGATTTATGGTTTTATTCAATAAACTATTTGTTTTTAAAAACCTGTTTGACTGGAAGCTAAAATATTGTGTAATTCTACTGAGAATTTTTTTTTTGTGTGTGTGTGTGCTAATTTGAAGGAATACTGTATATTTGTATTACATTTTATCTATACTACCACACCAAAACTAGTATAAGTAGTGCTTTATTTCTCATAAATAAATGTAAGAGTGAGACATAAGGCTCCTATATTAAAATGAAATTTCCATATATATTTCAAATTTATTTTGAAACATTTTGTATGCATTTCAAAATAATTTTTAAATTATTCATTCAACTATGCTCAATTAAAAATACGAAAACAATGTAGCTTAAACTTAATATTTTATGATCAAATAGAATATTCTATATTTTGTAATAGCTTAACAAATATTGTGTGTGTATGATTCTACATGATTACTAAGTTAAATCTCATATTTGGCTCCACTTTTAATCATTTTCATGAAATAAAGTTTGATACCTCTATGCTAATTCCCATTATTATTTCAATTTCATTTCTTTGGAGTTATATAACAACATTTATGTTTGTGTGTCAATATTTCTGAAGTGTAATAGATAGAATTGCATATTTTTTTAATCACATGAAAATATACAAGGTCAGTTATAATTAAAAACAAATTTTTCATACTTTTATCATATGTAAGTGAAACTTGCTTGATTAATTTTCATCTCTATGTTAGCCCTATATTAGAGTATAATGGTATTGGCTGTGTACATTGTAGAATATGTTTCTTCTGTTTAACATTTAACATATTTCTCAAGTCAGAATCAATTTATAATTTTGTTGTTTTTAAATATTATCCTTTTTTTTTCACTTTTATTCATATCTGTATAGATGTATATTTAAACAGCATATAAGATTCTCTCTCTCTCTAAGTACCATGCCCATCTAGGGCATTGGTGAGCATGGTCTTCCACTGATCTCTGTCTCCTGTTGCTCTTATCAGTTCTATAGTGTAATTCCTAGCTTCTTAGCAATTGTTGATGGCAGCATCTGTCTTTGTCTTCCCTTATTTTTCTTTCTTGGGATTTTTCCTGTCATAATGATGTTTTCATCTCTCCTTTTCTCATGATATGTCCTATAAAATTTCGTTGTCTCTTTGTTAAATTTTCTCACAACATTATTTTTTTTGTCTTGGCATTGTTTAGAATGACTTCATTACTTGTTTGTTTTTCCGTGATATTTTAAGCATTTGTCTTAGGAACCACATTTCTACTGGATCAATGTGTTTCTTCATTCTTGGTGATAATGTCCAACATTTGGGACCATAAAGAAGGATTGGATGAACATAACACTGTAGAACTCTCAGTCGTGTTTCAACTGTCAATTTGTTGTTGATGAATATGGTCTTCATCTTTAGAAATGCTTCTTTTCCCATTCCTATTCACCTTTTGATTTCGTGATCACATTTTCCATCTGATGATATCCAGCTTCCAAGATATTTAAATTTATTTACTTGTTTGATTGTTTTATTCCCAATGGTTAATCTACATGCTAGTATTTCCTCCTTCTTATGATCACCATACATTCAGTCTTCTTTCAGTTAATGGTCAGTCCTTTTCTCATACTTTCCATTACAACTTTATTGAGGATATTCTGTAGATCTTCTTTCATACCAGCAATAACTACAGTATCATCTGCATATCTTAAATTGTTTACATTTTTCCCACCAACCATGACCCCATGAAGGTCTTGTATCTCATGGAGTATCATTTCACACTATAGGTTGAATATGAGAAAACTCATCCCTGTCTGACCCCTTGTTGTATCTCGGTATATTCACATATTTGATCTTCTATTCTCATAGCTGCTGTTTGTTCCCAATATAGTTTTCTGATTATTTGGAGGTCTTTCCCATCTATGTCTCAATTTTGTAACATTTCATAAAGTTGTTCATGCCATACCTTATCAAAAGCTTTTGCATGATCAATAAAGCAGACAAACAGATCATGCTGTACTTTGATTGCTCGTATATGAGACATACTAAACTGAATTGTAATTACATTGAGTAATCTATTATAATAATACTCAGTTTTTGTTTGTCCTGAAAATGCATGCTCATCTTACTGTCTAAATGTGCATGTGCACATATTTCATTTAATTGGATCTACACAAAAGGTGGAAATAAATATACTTTAGAAGACATTTTATACAACAACATATTAGAAGCATATTAGAGTTTTTACAAACATCTAACTTTAGATTGTAGAATAACATTATGTTTATATATTGATAGTGTTAAGTATGGTAAAGTTTAGCTCTAACTAAACTAAAGCAAAAAAAGTATACAAGTTACAATGTTAATTGATATCTTGATCAAATATAGGCCTTATTTAATAAAGGTTAGGTTTAAGACAAATGGACTTGTAGATTTTGGTGTCCATGATTAGAATTATTTTGTATTATTCTAGAAATCCTGTAGTTAAAGAAACACTATTGCAATAAAGATACTAATTTGACCACAAATGTTTTGCAGGTCTCTGTTAGTTTCTTAGTATAATAAAATGACCATTCTTTAACATACAAGCTTTCAACTCCTTAAGTGTAATGACCTTGCATTAAAGAAATGCTTAAAAATCAGTACTGAAGGTGATGGTATGTATTTTATTGAAATAGCACTTACTTTATTTCAACAAATATTTATTCAGATGCATAGTCTGATACTTTAGTATAAGATGTGATATTTGGTTATTTCTTTCAAACTGATACCTGACAACCATAGCTGAATGAATTATTAAATTGCCAGTTTTTCTGTTATAACCCAATAAAGACCTTTTCTTGTTACAGTTTTGAGCATGCTAGTACTTAATGTTAGGTCAGTGATCTTTTTATTGTAAATTTACTGTTTTTCTTCAACAGGTTGGCTATGAAGTAGGAGCCCAAGAAGAGGCTTTACCAAATGCTTATATGAATGACTTGGATAGTGCACTCATACCTGTTATCTCATCATTCAGTTGTCAAGAAGGTCACCTTTGCCTTGAGCTGATATTTCACATCTTGCTGAAGTAACAGGCTTTTTAATTACACATCATTTGGTGTTCATGTTCAGGGGCATTAAGCAGGTTTCTTGCTTAATGTATGGAGAGCTGAAACGGTAACAGGATAGTACTGTGCTGTGATTATAACGAGGCAGAATCTCTGAAAATAAGAATTTTCATATGTTGAGTCCAAGTTTGCCACTAAGTATACTGTGCAGAAAAGATATTGTGATTGTGAAACATTCTGCTGCCTTATTTTGGTGTGTCTGTTTAAATGCTTATCATAACATGGAAGAAATTGTATCTAAATTTATTTCATTTGTAAAGGTGTGAAAGAGAAGAACTGTAAACTTTGAGTTTCTATTTTTTATGCAATCTTAAAACAAGGAGTACTTGAACTAGTGTAGAGTTTTGTTTTTAGAGAAACATATTCGAAGAACTTATTTACTAGAATTAAGAAGTTGATATATATATATATATATATATATATATATATATA